ATGTTCTTTCATTGAGTATTTTGTCTGATTTGTTCTATCTAAACGTTCTACTATCAAGATTATATGTATTTATATATATTATGTGTATGTCTAAATGCAAAATTTATGTTCCCTCTTTTCATGTGTAACGTTTCTTAACGTCTCTTCCATATTATGTCTTACATTATTTGTAAATATATTCATGTGGCTATAACAGACTTTTTTTTAGGACACGTAAATAAATTGTATTTTAATTTATGAGTGTTTTTCTTTGACGTTCAGTTTCTATTTAGATGTCAGTCACAAGGATTTAAAACAATAGAAGCAGGCCCGGCATGGCCAGGTGGTTAGGGCGCTCGACTCGCAATCTGAGGATCGCGGGTTCGAATCCCCGTCACACCAAACATGCTCGCCCTTTCAGCCGTGGGGGCGTTATAATGTGAAAGTCAATCCCACTATTCGTTGGTAAAAGAGTAGCCCAAGAGTTGGCGGTGGGTGGTGATGACTAGCTGCCTTCACTCTAGTCTTACACTGCTAAATTAAGATAGCCCTCGTGTAGCTTTGCACGAAATCCAAAACACAACAATAGAAGCAAGCAAAAAAAGTATGTTAAAGTAGGACACGTGTTTTTAATCGTTAAAAATGAGAGCAAATTTGATAGAAAATTACAGTAGAACAAGAAGTAATTAAAAAATCAGCAACCAAGAATTCAAAAACGAACTAAGGAAACTTAACTCAATTTGGATTAAAACAGCTCAAATGATGAAGAATTTGTATGTGTGTTAAAACACTTATTTCTCTAAACCTACCAAACACTACATCGTAATAGAACAATCGTGGCAGACTGAGTGACAGTAACACCAAGTTTAACACTTAACCTAGGAAATGAGTAAATCAACTTCTTACTGCACCATAAAAATTGACAACAGTAACTAAACTACAATAAAACATTTTAAGCCTAAATATAACCAAATCTCATTTTTTAAAAGCTTTATTTTAACACTGAAAAACAAAACAAAAAACTAATTGTATCATTTACCTTGTTTTTTACATTTTCTTCTTAGGTAGAGCAGTTGGCTATAAAAGTTTAGATCCGGGGTACCCAACCTGTTGGGGTGGGGGGATCCCTGGTAGAGGCAGCTTTGGAGAAAGAGGGTCTTGAAATAAACCGGTCGCCCCAGACGACAAAAGTTTTAAGGAAGAAGATAACGGGTGTGAGAATATAATAAACTCTATAATAATATTTCAGACCAAACTGTGCCATATGAAATGGGATCAATGCACAGATTGGTATCTGTGAATCCGGTAAGTTTCATAGAGTGTAGAAATAAGTTATGAAATCAAGTTTTTTTTTTCTTTGCTCTGATAAAGACACATTCTTAATGCAGAATCAATGCATTATAAAAGTAACGATGTATAAACGTGTCTTCTAAACATTGGTTTTTACATATCATAGTAAAACATCTGCCTGCATAAGTTTGTTGTCTATCTGCTACAATATCCTCTATACGCTATATTACCAAATGTATTGAGACAACACACCCAAACAGAAAACCAGTCCTATCAACCTGCATTTGTTTTATGTTTCCCTCATTGCAAAGCATCATGTTCTTTATAAAAGTGCAGCGGGTATAGAATCTCTGCTATAACTAAGATGCTATGTGGTAAATAACTATGTGATCTTCAGCATGGAATGGCTAATGGGTGTCAGATGGGGGGGGGGGGGAGGGTATGAGTGTGTTCATCATTTTCGTCTCGTCGGGCTTTCTTAAGTCAACTGTTGACAGTGTTCTAAATGTCCTTAAGTAATAGGTTTGAATAAGCGGAATTTAAAAACGCGTGTGGTAAAGAGAAACGCAAAGAATGCACTGAAATTGAGGCCACCACATCCTCAATCTAATAGGAACTGCACAATCAAGGTTTGTTGCTCACAAGCCATGGATTACAAGCATAGACTAAAGCAGTGCCTAGAATATCGAGACTGATGTCTTGAAGATTGGAAACGAATTATGTGGAGGTGTTAATCGCTGTACATGTTGCTTGCATCAGATGAACGAGAATGGGCTTGGCATCAATGCTATGAATATGGCTGTGTTATCTCAATGGTGAATAGTGGTGAAGGAGGTGTAATGGTTTGGGACTGCTTTTCATGGTAGTGGAGTGAGTCCTTTGATTGTAGTGAAGATAATGGTGATATTTGAAATACTGCTACACTACCAGGTGGTAGTGGAGTGGGTCCTTTGATTGTAGTGAAGATAATGGTGATATTTGGATACTGCTACACTAACAGGTGGTAGTGGAGTGGGTCCTTTGATTGTAGTGAAGATAATGGTGATATTTGGATACTGCTACACTACTAGGTGGTAGTGGAGTGGGTCCTTTGATTTTAGTGAAGGGAAGGGTGATAATTGGATAATGCTACACTACCAGCCTTGGTGTTGCCTTTGACTGTAGTGAATGGAAGGGTGATATTTGGATAATGCTACACTACCAGCCTTGGTGTTGCATTTGACTGTAGTGAATGGAAGGGTGATATTTGGATAATGCTACACTACCAGCCTTGGTATTGCCTTTGACTGTAGTGAAGGGAAGGGTGATATTTGGATAATGCTACACTACCAGCCTTGGTGTTGCCTTTGACTGTGGTGAATGGAAGGGTGATAGTTGGATAATGCT